GATGGTGCTCTCTACTATGCTAACAAGCCTGGACTCCACTCTTCAAGCAATGAGGAGTTCTATACAGGATGGAATTAAGCTACCAATCTGGTAGGTAGATGGGTCAGTGACTAGCTTCTGGTTGTGATGGATGCAAGGCACCCTTTGGGGGGAACCAGGAGCGATGATGGGGGAACACCAGCCTTACTGCCAGGTGCCCCTGGGGCTGTCTCTGCAGAGCTCTGAAGAGTTCAGGCAGGGAGTTACTGTGCCAGGTATGTACTTTGTGTTATTACCCCTGAAAGCATAGTGAAGGAGTCCTTGTGGAGCACACATCTACAGGGAAATGCAATGGATTGGGATGATCCAAGAAGGACAATGGGCTAGATAAAAATTTTCAAGTAAAACCAACAGAACTCATTAATATATTTGTGAGGAAAGAGAACAGCAAAGGAAACAAGGGTGAATTTCCATCTCTAATTTCAAAGAGGAACCATTTTGCAGTGAGAGGCTTGGAGGCTGAGATGATTCACAGAGCCCACTGTTTTGAAGGAGAAGTAGTTAGGATAGGGAGAACTTGAAGGCAGAGGGCAAAGAGGGGCTAGGTGATGAGCCAAGGACAGGAGGAAGGTGGAGAAAGGCTAAGGGCAGAGGTCCAAAAGGATTGGAAGGATTATGGTCCAAAAGGGTTATGAAGGATTGTAGGGATGATTTTTTTTTTTGTGGTACCGGGGATTGAACTCAGGACATTGCACTTTCGAAGCAGGTGCAGTGCCACTGAGCTAAATCCCCAGCCTGGGATGATCTTTATTCCTTATGCTTTGAGCCACTTATAAATATTTGTTAATGAACATATATAACTTTAATAAGGCCAAACTTATTTTGTATTAATATAAAATCACACTATGAATACTCATCTACTAAAAAACTAATAAGAGAATGAGGTACTTTGAATTTTTAATATAACAAAGCTTGTTACCTACAAGTACTGACCAAGAGACATGTGTCAGCTGGCACTGAGGTCTAAAAAATGATTTAATTTTTCTTACCAACTGGTAAAAAAACCACCATTATCCTATTCCAGTACAGTAGTAAGATGCCTTAGTCCAGCCCATGGAAAACTGGCAGAGGCTCAGTTTAAGAACTAAGACACCTCTCCCAAATATCAGGGTTACCATGGAAACCAGTGGCAACTGTTGCATTGGATGAGTATTTGTATATCAGTATTTGCATTTCTAACAATGTGAGAGGCCAGTGGATTCATGCTTAAGGATACATTTATTAAAAGAAAAATCATTGCTCTTATACAAATACAAAGTGAATGTGTATCAACAATTTCAATTAGCTCAGTAATTTATGAGGAAACCAATAAGATGTCACAACTGTATCAAAGGCGAAATAAAAAATGTATATATGTTGATGATGCTAAAAGAATTCACAAACAGATGCACACTGGTCAACATCTATGGAGCAGCAACCAATTACATTTTTATATTCTACAGGGTAAAATTCATTTGCATCTATTTCCATTTCTTGGACAAGAATCACTTGTGTTACTGTTAAGTTTTTTTCACTTTGCAGAGTTCTAAGATGGTCCATAGACAATGAAAAGTGCAGGGCCTAAGAAATCAGATAATCTGATGGATACTAGATAAGATACCCAATACTCTGTTTAGGGTTCTGCCCTAGTTATTTTTTTCATTGTGGAGACAAATACCTGATACCCACAAGTTAAAGGAGGAAAGGTTTATTTAGCTCACAGCTTGTAGAGATTTTAGTGCACAGTTGGCTGGCTCCAAGACCGGGTGGCCATGGTAGAGAGGCATTGCAGAGGAGAAAGAGTTCATGGCAAGGCAGGCAGGAGGCAGCAAGCCACAGCAAGCAGCAAGCAGAAGCAGCACCAGCGAGCCTGCCTCTCCCTTTTATCCCATCCAGGCTATCAGCCTTTTGGGTGGTGCCAACCACACCCAGGATAGGGCTTCTCTATCCACCCCCTTAACCCTAGCATCACAACCTTAACCCCATATCACATACTAATCCAGCCACTTTTGAAACTGTCCATCTACGAGTACATGAAGCTTTGGGGGGACATTTAGATACAAGCCATAACAGGTTTACTTCAAAGTCTTTCACAATTTTTTCCTGACAGTTCCCCTCTTTGTGACTATCATAATTACAAAGAAAGATCATTCTTGACCATAACCAACAAACATTTTAGAGAGTGGGACAAATGCTGTCATAATTCAACAGAATTTTCATACTCTTTCTAGGGTCCTTGCTATCAAGCCATGAAGAGTCCCTGATTATCTCAGTGAATCCCCCAGAACCCCCTTACCTGCTACCTGCCCCCTCCCTCTGTGCTTCTCAGCCCACCCAGCAGGTACCTTGAATGGGGTCCCAGGTTACTGTAGTCCCTCTCTGTGCCTTCAGTTCACTAAGAGGCACCTGGGACAAGATAACTATCAAACTTCAGAGAGCAAACCACAGGACATCTACAGAGAGAGAGAGTCAAATACCTGCATGCAGGGTTTCTACTCTAGTCAAGAGCATGGACAAATGCTCAAATGAAGCTCCACAATTCTGCTCTGTAAAGGTCCAAAGAGGCCCTTTTTTCTTTTCTTTTTTTTTTTTTGGTACCGGGGATTGAACTTGGGTCCTTGTGCTTGTGCAGCAGGTGGCAGAACCACTGAGCTAAATCCCCAGCCCAAGAGGCCCCTTCTTCTGTGGTGATAGGAATGCTATGACAACAGGTGTTAGGAGCACCTGGCTCAGCCACTAAACTGTGACCTTTTGGTTCCTGCAGTACCAATAGTTTCCAGGAGGACAGCATCCCCTTCTGCCTGCAGAAGGAGCTGGCCACAGAGGCTCCTTAAGTAGCTGGGTGGACAGACTGCTGGATGAGGTTATTTAGCACTGTCCACTTGCACAGAGCTGAGTGTAGGCCAAATGCAATTTCCATTTTGGTGTACTTGCTGCTAAGCTGTTCTTGCTGGCTATAATTAAACAGCATGTTCAGCTGCTTTCTTAAGGGCACTCGTTCCTAATAAAAATAAAAAACCTGATCATTGGCTCAGATGATGGATCAGGCCTTCTATTTTCCATGGCAGGAAGGCACACAGTGCACCAATTGGTAGAACCATGTACAGACTTACACTATTGATGTCAGGGACAGCCAAGAGCCAACCACCTCTTCCACACTCAGCTCTTTGGATAATGATGCCTGCATTAGAGGCTCTGAAGGCAAAACAGGAGAGTCAGAGGCTACTGAGGGCCAGTGATGTCACTGTTCCTTTCTCAATGAAATGAAGCAAACTGAACACCTACAGGGTTATCCAGCATGTAGCAAGCACCAGTCAAAGAGCAGTGACACCTGGGCTGGGGATGCAGCTCAGTGGTGGAGCACTTCTGTAGCATTTGCCTGAGGTCCATCTCCAGTAGCACAAACACAAAGAAATAGTGACACAGACCCTGATGGATCTATCTCCTTGCCTTTCACAGTTGAGGCTGATCATTTAATCTCTGCAGAACAGCACCCAACAGAATGCCAGCATTATGCCAGCATAGATCAAGTGACCAACACTTACTGATGGATAGACGGTGAATGGATGAATGGGTGGGTGGCTGTATGAGTGTGTAGGTGGGTGAGTAGGTGAATAAATGGGTGTGTGGACAGATGAATGGGTGGGTGGGTGAACGATCACACATAAATCTTTCTCTCACTTATGCAAAAATGTCTGACTTCTTAGAAGAATGAGTCATGCAATCAGTTGAAAAAATGGGTGGGATGGCATTTTGAAGTAATATCTTATTTGATATAAACTGGGGGAGGTAGAATATTCCCTCTTGAAAGATGGTCTAGGGCTGTATCAGAGAGATTATTGTTAGTTCATTTGTTGAGTACCTACTAAGTGGTAGGAACCAGGGACCCAAAGGTGAATAGAACACAGTTCTCGATCTCAGGGAAACAGATGCTCAGTGGGGCTGTCTTCCCAGTGGATATCTGTTAGAATTCTGACAACAATGGCTCTGCACCTGCCACATTCACAAGCCACACAGCCATGACATTCTCCCTAAAACTTCACCTTATTTTAATAAATAATGCCACCTCCTCCCCTCTGGTACGAGATAATGGTCTGGAGAGCAAAGGGAGCAGATTTCAGCTGATCTAGAACACAAAGGGCAGGACTATCACCACAGCCAGGTGCTGGGTGGGCAGAGGGGAAAGAGCTCCAGGCTCCAACTTGAGTAATACGGAAATGAAGGATGCTGGTAATAGGATAGAATGGCCATGGTGGAGTGAGGAGGACCAAGTCAGGGTTAAAAGCCACGTGATGCAATTTGAAGCCATAAGTTTGTAATGAGTCTGTGACCAGTGGGAAAGAATGTCCTATCACAGGACTCCATACCTGGAGGTCTGAGTCAAAGAGAAGCACATGGATCACCAAGGGGAAGGTGGCCTTCACATCACAGAACACGGGGGTGGGGATTTCCTCAGGAGGACAAGCTGGGAGAGCAGGAGGAGCCAGCAGGCGAACTCATGGACCATGCCATGGGCAGGCAGAGGGCCAGAGGCAGGCAAGAGAAAAGCCAAACTGCTGGGTAACCCAGGAAGGGAGCTTTCTAAAAAAGGGGGCTGACTGGAGGTTGAGGCAGGGAGGTCTGAACAGTATTTGGCACCATGCCCACACCAGAGAAAAATCCCAAAGATGTGCACTGTTGTTGCTGCAAACTCTCAAGGTAGCCCTGGGGAGAGGCACCCTCAGCCCTTTCCAAGTGCACTCTGGGGAGGACCACACTGTCATTCTCACTCCCAGGCCTCCACAGGAGCCCTCTAACAATGCTTCTTGTTCTCCTCCCAGCACACGCCGCCTTCCCCTTTCCTAAAGTGTGAGCAGCCCATAAAACACCATGACATTTCTCTGGTGGTTGTAGGTCTGGACCAGTAGTAAAGCTTAGGACATCACAAGCTCATGAGAAAATCTCACAACTGTTGGAAGCAACAGTTCTGTTCTGCTACTCACTGTTTTCAGACAGCTCCACAATGTAGTGAAGAACAGGGCTGTTCCCATCGAAGGGCCGGACCCAGGAGAGCACCACGGCGTGGCTGTGTGAGGGGCTCAGGCCGGCCAGGAGGTTCTGGGGTGGGTGGGGCAGTTCACTGGAATTAAGGCAGGAGAAGGGAAGAGAGGAAAATGCACATCAGTTGACGCTTGGCTGGGCACTCATGCCAGGAGTCCTGGTGTGAGGCCTGGGAATGGCAGGCTTGAAATACACCCAAACCCAAACACGGCTCAAGCCCCCTCTTCCTAAAAAGGAACAAAGCCCAGGGCGGGGGATTTAGCTCAGTGGTTTCACCACCTGCTGTGCAAGCGCAAGGACCCGAATTCAATCCCCGGTACCAAAAAAAAAAAAAAAAAAGAAACAAAGCCCAACTCCATCACTCTCGGTGCCACTGTGTTTTCTAAACATAATTCGATTGAGTCCCTGTGGTACCAAAACAACTAATGGCATTGCCTCTTAAATGGGGCAGCATGTGTGCACATTTTTAGACAGTGTATTATTTAATAGAGAAAATCTGGTCAACAATTTTTTAACAACCAGAAGCTGGTAATGGAAATGCAGCAAAGCATATAAACAGGAAAAGCCCTGGCAAATATGATTCAGTGTGAAAGTTTTCCCAATAGCCATTTGGAGTTACTAGCAAAAAATACCCATATGTATTCCTAGACAAACGTCGCCTCATTTATTGACAGCATAAGGTTATATTGTCATTCTGTCTTCTGCTGGATAATGGGGGTTTGGGGGAAGCACTTAAAAGGAAATGTGGTGAAAACACTAAAGAAAATCCCATGGAAATGGTAAATAACACATCAGCAGGGATATAAAATAGAAATGCAATGAAAGCATATAAATTCTAAAGAGAAATTACTAATAAAAAAGTTGTTACTGGGATTTGCTGGTGACAGCTGCAGACCCTACAGTGTAGTGTATCCCAGCCACGGTCCTGCAGCCTTGAGGTCACGAGTGTCCAAGTCCAGCCTTTAACTGCACATCTCACAGGTCTCAGAGTAGCACTGGGCCTGTGGTACATTCTAGACAGCTTCCCCGTCCGTAAATGTTCTCAGGCAGTGCTGGGGTAGGGGTGGCTGGTTTATCCACTAACTAGTTTGGGTCTTTCTCAGGCACCCGTTACTGCTGAGCCACACAGGTCAGAAAAAAAGCCATCATTAAACTTGATGTTTGTAATTTAAACATTTTCTCATTATACTTTAAAATTTATTAAGCTGTTCTGTGGAACGTAAGAAACACAGCTCTCTCTACCCTATGCACACCACTCATAAAATAACCAATATTTCCCATGTACACAGCATCTCCATTGTACATTAGCACAGCAAAGCATAAACCTGAGCTTGGTATGTTACTTGTTTTCCCCTTAACTATGAATTCAGTTTTAAATCAAAAAGGGGTTATTATTTCTATTCGAGTTTTCCAGTAATTAAACCACCATGAGATTTCCAATGAAGACCAATAAGGAAACACCTGAATAAAAATATCTATCCTAACTCTCCCAAGCCCCATTTCCTATTTTTTCTGCCAGTCTGAACTGGTTTTATCTGAAGCCAAACCAGGGATGAAATAGCTACACCTGAAAACAAACCAAGGATAAACTTGAATAAATACATAGTGAATGTTTAAATATGTATTACAGTAAAAGACACACTGCCATTAAACCCCCTAAAGATGCTCCCCTTTGCTTCTAACACACTTCTCCCATCATTTTGCCATTTTCTAAAGCAGTTCTGGAAGTCCTTTCTCATGACTTTTTAAAAAATTAATTTTATTGGTACATTTTAGCTATACAATGTAATGACATTCATGATTGGAAATTTGCACCTTTACATAATCTCTCTTGGTTCTTATTTTTTCCCCATTCCCCTGCCCTCCCTTCAACTCCTCCACCCCTCCCTATTTACAAAGACTTTGTTTCCATTTTTTCATTTTCTCATATTCCAATTCCTTCTTTCCTTTCCCCTACCCCTCCCACTTCCCTTTCTCCTTTGCCCCTTTTCTTCCTATTTCACATTATCTATTTTAGTCCTTATTTATACTTTCAGTTTCTCACACTAGAGAAACTATTCGGTATTTATGCATGTGTGTCCTATTTATTTCACTTAAGAGTATTGCCTCAATGTGCATCCATTTAGCTATAAATGTCTCTAACTTCTCATTTTTTATGGCTGAGTAGTACTCCATTTTATTTTTTTTTAAAACACATTTTCTTTATCCAGTCTCCAGTTGATGGGCATTTGGGCTGCTTCCAAGTTTTAACTATTACAAATTATGTTGCTATGAACATGAGTGCACATATAGCACTGTGGTATGATTCTTTTGATTCTTTGGGGAAGATACCTAGCAGGGGAATAGCTGGGTTAAATGGGACTTCCAGTCCTAGTTCTTTGAGGTATCCCCACACTGATTTCCACAGTGCTTGCACCAGTCTACACTCCCACCAGCAGTGGAGCAGGGTTCCTCTTTCCCCACAGCCCAGCCAGCATTTGTTATTGGTTGATTTCATGATAGCAGCCATTCTTTCTGGGTGTGGAGGAATCTCAGCTTTGTTTTCATTTGCATCCCTTGAATGACCAGTGATGTTGAACATTTTTTCATATGCTTATTTGCTATTTCTACTTCTTTGTCTGAGAAATGTCTGATCATTTCAGATGCCCGTTTTTGGATTGGGTCTTTAATTTTGGGAGGTTTGATTTTTTAAAGTTCTTTATAGATTCGAGATAGCAGACCTTTGTCTGAGGAACAGCAGATGAAGATTTTTTCCCAGATTGTGGGTTGTCTCTTCACACTGTGGTTGGTTTCTCCTGCTGTGCAGAAGCTTTTTAGTAAGAAGAGATCCCACTTGTTGATTGTTTGTGCTAGTTCACAGGCAACCGAGGTTTTGTTCATAAAATCTTTTCCTACACCAACATCTTCAAGAGTTCTTCCTAGCCTCTGTTCCAACTGGTTCAGAGTTTCTATTTTAATATTTAGATCTTTAATCCATTTTGATTTTAGTTTAGTGCATGGTGAGAGATCATGACTGTTTTAATGAAGTATGATAAGAAATATGGTGAATGCTGCTTCTGTTGTCAAATAACATCCAATGGTAAGGTAGGCCCCTAAAAACTTTACAGTGAGTCCTCAACCACTTTATTCCCTGAGTCTGCACTGTGTGACTTCTGGCTCTTTCTCAAGGTCAAAATGAGAATGAAAGGAAAACATTTTGAATCAATACAGGATATTTAAACTGCAAAACTAAAGTGCAACTAAAGACACTTATGAACGAGGACTTCCAGAACTGCTTCAGAAAGTAGTAAGAATGATGCAATTAGTGTGTTCAAAGCAAGAAGATGTATTTTGAGGGGATTCATAAGTTAAAAAAAACCTAAGCATTCACTGTACTTTAAAAAAAATCTTACCTGGTATATCCAAGTAAGACTGCTGAATAACAAAGAATTTATCTGGTCCAGGATGGAATTCTAAGCCTTGAAATATTCTGAGGAATGGCACTGTCTTTTTTATTTGTGGTGGGGCTCCTGGCCACACCTGGATGTGTGCTGATGAGGGTTTCGGGCTGGAAAGAGCCATGTGATTAGATGGCAGAAGTTTCTGCCAGGGGTATTTGCCCCAGCTTCAGGCTTCTGGAGGCTAGAGACTGAGTTCAGTCGTTCGCCAGGGTTTCAGTCTACGGGGAAAGCCCACGCAAAGCCCTGGGCCCTGCGGCTAAGTGAGGCTCCCTGGCTGGGAATACGTAGAGGCCAGATGAGGACGTGGGCCTTCCCAGGCCCTGTCTCACTCATCTCTTCCTTCGCCTGGTCCTGACTTTTCTCCTTTATAAGAAAATGACTGCCTACTTATAGAACCTTCCTGAGGCCTGGGTGGTAAACTAGAACTGCAGGGTACAGGGTGAAGCCCACGTTTCAGTCTGGCAGCCTGGAGCTGGCGCCTGGCCTCTGAAGGGCAGACATCTTGTTGAGGACTGTGTGCTGACATGTGAGACCCGTGGTGTCTCGGTAATGAGCGTCGGGATGCCTCCGTGGGGACTGGCCCTGAAACGGGAAGGTTTTCTTACCCAGGGAGTGTGAACTCTGTGAGGCTGCTGGAGTTGGCTAGCGGATGTTCTGGTCATTCTTTGTGTGGACCGTGCCAGTGATTGAAGAGGTTCCCTGTCTGCCATGCCTGCAGCCCCAGGCCTCAGGGGCACACATGGCCCTCATCCTTCACCCCCAAAAAGACAGATGTTCAAAGGGAGCTCACAAGTGGCCTTTTAGGACAGGACAGGAAACAATTCTAATTACACATGTCAGGGGGATGACTGAGGGCTGACAGTAAGGCATGAATCATTTTCCCACCAAAACAAGTGCTTTTATTGTCCATCCTTTCTAGTCAAAAGTGCATAGAGCAACAACCAGTCTTACAGTGATCGCCTTTCTTCTCTTGAGGCCGGACAGCTTGGTGAACAGTGTTCAGGTGCACTCTCTCATCTGGAGGCCACTAACAGAGCAATTCTGTCGCATGGTGCCAGTGTACAAGTCCCTGGACTGTGGCCACGTGTGTCACTCTCCCTCAGGACATGATTCTTGTGGTCAGGGAGGGTCCTGACCTCTACTTCCCACAGAGCAGAAGTGATCACTAAGAAGGCCACAGAGCTTCCACTGCTGCCCATGGCTCTGAGCCACACCCAGTGTGATACCCATGTCAGCTGTGAGTTTTACACACTTCATGGGGTTCAGAGCTGGAATGAGAATTGTCTTTCCTAGTTCCAGCCTCTGTCCTATGTGAACATCTCCCAACATATTTCTTGTGCCCAACATTACCTGGTTAGCTATATAAAATATCTTCTTTTGTTTTTTCTGATAATGGCACTGGGAATTGAATCCAGGGCCTTCATACTGAGCTATATCTCCAGCCCCCCCCCCCTTAATTATTTATTTTGAGACAGGGTTGCCTTGACTCAGCTTGAATTTGAGATCCTCCTGCCTCAGCCTCCCAGCAGGCTGGGATTACAGGTATGTATCACCATGATTGCTGCAAGGAACCTTTTAATAGATACTGAAAACATAAACCTTAAAATCTTTTAAATAAATCCTGCTTACCTTGGAAATTAGGGTTTGTGAGACCCTTGACTAACCTGTCAATAATAGATAAATGAGGTTGTAATATATTCTGAACTCATTTCAGAAAATCTTATCTAATAGGAGTGGATTACATCCAAGCAGTTCTCTGCCAATTTTGAAAGGAGATAAATAGTCTGCCATGACTCACAGATAGTGACAGCCAGACGGGTGACAAATGGAAGAGATCTTGAACAATGGAAATGAAGCCCAGTGCTGAGTCATTGTGCAGTGTAAAGGGAATGAGGAATCACCATCAGGCAAATTATACCACGATACTAGATACTATCAGAGATTAACAACAACAGTAACAAAAACCTAGACTGCATGGGAAGGAGATCGGGCAAGGTGTTTGTGAGGAAAATGGCTTAGAAGAGAGAAAGAGAGAGAGAGAGAGAGAGGGAGAGAGAGAGTGAGCAATTGGTGAAATTGCAACTGTGGGGAAATTGCTCAGGCAAAGGAGGGTCGGGCAGCATTTTCCATATCAGAAACACTGCGGGCGGATGCCGGAATGACGCCTTGGTCAAAGCCATCTTCTCGACTTTGCTGTGAGGAGGAAGATGATGGGGCCTGATAACTCCGGAGCTCAGTATTAAATCATTCGCTCCTTATTAGTGCTTTGTCAGAAGTAGTTTTATTGAAAGAAACCTCTCCCACTGCCTCCAGGTCCAAGTCTTCAAGTCGGCTCTGTAAATCAGGTTTTCTCCTGCTCTGGGCTCATAAGCATTCGGCTCTGAATGCAGGAGGAGAGAGGCAATGCTAATTGGGTCTTTAAATGATTGAACAATTAATCAACACATAAAGCCCTAGGAGCCTGGTCCCTCTGGTGTGCCCAACAGGGCACAGTGCTTTGGGGGATACAGAGTCACCCTAGGAACCAGCTCCTGCCCTTACAGCACCAGCAAAGCAGGAGGAAAGACAGCTGAAACAAGGGGTGACAGCATTTAACAGTGACCTGTGCTGTTAATGTGCAGGACACACAGGGGACCATCTGGAATTGAGAAGGCTGTTTCTTAGGGAGGGGATTAAGGCAGAGCCCACGGCAACCACTCACCCTCAGTGTGCACAGCACACTGTCTTACTTTAGTGAGTGGACTGATACCTACTCAGACTTGTACTGGACACATCCTATGTGACTGACATCATCCCAGGCACAGGAGGCTCAGCAGCAGCAGACACCTCTAGTGAATCTGAGGCCACTAGGATGTGATGGAAACTAACATGAGCGAAATGAAAGAAAAATCCCTGCCAGAGGTCACAGTGCCCTGATGCAAGGGGGAGGAGCCCCTTTTCCTAAGATGGAGAGGAAGGAATAAGAGCAGGATTTCTCCAGGGTGCCTCTTCAGCTGGGCTCCAGCAGGCCCATGCAGTTCATCTGACTCTCACAGCATGCTTTGAGGTCAGCGATGCAACACCCTGTCTGCAAGCTGAGCAAACTGAGGCAGGGAGGAGAGATCACCTGCCATATCCCTCACTGTCACGGGTATGAGGCATCACTCCTATAATTGGCTGAGTCAGAGCTAAGGCCTGGTACTCAAGTGCCGAGTGAGGGACAAACAAGCATGACAACATGCCAGTGCACTGTCTGCTTTTGAGAATCTCACTTCTAATGCTCCTAATTTCTATATTTAACAAAGTAGCTTTTAGTTGAAGTGGAGAGGAAAGGGGGAAACAAGCTTTTAGGCCTCTGAAGGACACTGCTTAGCTGTAAGTACCTCTCAGACCCTTCTGCTGTATGAGAGTTTTTTTTCCTTGCTTTATTTTTTTGCCATGAGTAAATCATGAAGATGTTACAGAGCTCGATGTGGAAGTCTACGAGAAGCACCAAATGCCCTACAATTGTGTTATTATTATCATTGTTATTGTCATCACTAATGTTCTAGAGTTTCAGACCTGCTTGGATCCAGAGATGAACAACTGCCCTGATTTGTTCTGACATGGGAAAGTGTGGTGTTTATGACACTAGCAACTCAGAAGACCAACAGTCTTCTAATCAGCTGTGCAACCAGTGGCACCTAAACTAGTTTAAATCACAAATCTGCAAATATTTCTATATTTAGAGATGAGGTATTTTACCACTGCAGAAAGCCTATTATTTTACACATACAGCAACATTTGCTGAAAAATGTATTTTACTTAGAGGAAATCAAATAAGCACATAGTACGGAAGATATGTAAATCAGTAGAACATAAAAATTGTGCAGAATAAAAAGAATGTGCTATATTGAAAGTATGCAATTTGGCTTCTGCTGACAGAGTCTTTATGAACTGCTAACATTTATTATTTGATACCAACAATGGATGATCTAAGAGTTCTCAAAGGTAGTTTAAAGATGTGAATAGCTTGGAAGATTATATGAATTCACTGGTGATGTACTCCAATATCAACAAAATGAAGAAGAAATCTCTGACCTGAGACCCAGAAGGAAGGAGGAAGAAATGGCAGAGATGTACAAGGGCTTTGCTGCAGAGACAGGAGCTCGTGTGTTTATTTACGAGGAACCAAGGGCTATGAGCACCAAAGGTAAGAAGGGAGTAAGGAGTCTGGCCATAGATCTATGCATATCATTCATTCATTCAGCTGGCATATAGGACACTCTATCAGGCACTCAGAACGTAAAGCTGTGCCTTAAGGTGCTTGAGGAGAAGGAACCAAGGAGGTAGAGCCCCACAATGTAGTCTGAGTCCATGCTTCAGGGAGGATGGGAGGACTGCAGCAGGCATCCCATGTCCAAACAGCAGGAAAAGGTGCCCTGCAGTGGAATGTGAGAGGATACCTGAACAGGACCCTTTCAGGTAGTCCTGGCAGAAGATACAGCCACGCCATGGAGACCACAGGTGGCTGCAGCATGCTGGATGGGGTTGGGGGCGCAAGATGGGCAGAAAGGCGGTCCAATGCTGGTGGCAGAGGGTAGGGAAGACCCTAGCTAGAAGAAAACAAGGAGTCATCTGGAGAGAGCCAGAATGGAAGGTGCAATGGAATTTTTCTAGGTACTGATGGTACCGCAGGGCTTTTTGGACTGGCTGCTACACATCACTAAGCTTGAAATTCTACAAATATGGACAAGACTAGGGAAGCATGCACTGGGTCACTCATTCATGCATGCAGCAGATATGGAAGGCCACAAAGCACTTAGTGAATATTGTTTTCACTCATTCCCTTGGCTGGCAGTGAGAGATTCAAAGACAAACAAGACTCCTATACTCCAGTGCTGTTTTTAGGGAAGAGTTTTCATATACAGAGTCCTTTCCAGATAAATATGGGCAGAGTCTGTAAGAAAAGTTCCCATGACTGCTTTTTCCTGATGACCCAGCATGTCCAGTGTTAGCAGGGATGTGGGGCAGGGATGTGTCACCAGCCTGGCTGCTGCCCTGGCAACTGCACTGCTTTGATTCCTTATTTCAGGGTTTATTTTTGCACTCACGTGCTCTGGAAAAATCTAGGAGGGCATGGTTTTTAAAAAGCAAATAAATATATGTTGGAAAAGTGAAATTTGTCAGCAGCTCTGTGCATGAAAAGGGAGTGTGGAAGGAGCAAGTACAGAGGAGATGGATGGTTCCCACCTGCGCCTCTGGACCCCCAGGAAGGCCTAGATTGGACGTAGTGGGAAGCTGCTTGCTATTTTCAGGATTTCAAAAGACTTAATGGAAAGTATCTATTTACCCACAGAGAGGCAGCTGGGACTGACTTAAGCTCAAAGCCTAGAAGGCTGTCACGGCAATGATCCTGCCTTGTGGGCTGACCCTGACACTTTTCGCTCATCAAAAGCTCTGATGGGCAATCAGGTGGAAAAATACTTTTCTCTCTTCTTCTCTTTTCTTTCTTTTTCTTTTTGTGCTGAGGACTGAACCCAAAGCCTTTTCATCGAGTGACATCCCCGAGTCCTTCTTACAGGTCTTCATTTTGGGGTCTCACTAAGTTGTCAAGTTGCCCAGGCTGGACTCAGACTTGCAGTCCTCCTGCCTCAGCCTCCCAGAGAGCCAGGATTACAGGTTTGTGACCACACCCAGCTTCACTATTTCTACAGCAAGGTAAACAGCCTATCATGATACAGCATCTGCATAGGAAATATGACAGAGATCGATGGGGATGGTAACTTCTAATAAAACTAGATGCACTAAGAATGAAACGTCTGAGTGTTAAGAGACAAAACCCTAACAACTTGTCAGGGTGCATGGCTGAGTAGCATGAGACGCTGGCCTTGACTGCTGCTTGGGACACTGTGTGGGCTTCATGCCTGTGCCTGTGCAGTGGCTGGCATTGGAAGGACAAGGCTGCAGGCGGCAGTGCAGACCTGAGGGTGGTGAACACCAACACCCAGTACTCACATCACTTCTAGCCGGGCTGTCCTGGAATCGTTCCCTCCCTCAGATGTGATTTCACAGGTGTAGTCTCCGATGTCACCTGACCACGTCTGGCTGATGAGGAGGGACCCGTCCTTCTCCGCCACAATTCTAGAGCTGCTAGATGGAGTGATGACAGTGTTGTCCTTCCTCCACATGTAGCTGTGGGGCAAGCACAGAGTCTTCAGTTACAGAATCTCGGGAACAGGGTCATGGGCTTTCCCATTTGTTAAAAGGCAAGCAACTTATGACCTTGAAAACATACTAAAAATCACTGAATTGTGCCCCTGAAAAAGGGAAATTTTATTGTATGTGAATTATACTTAGTAGGAAAAAGAAAAAGAAAAAGAAAAGTTAGCAAATATCTTGGTCAATATACAAAAGTGGATGCTGAAGTTAAAACAGGCCCACAGTTATGAGTGGAAGGCTTTATCTGCATCTGGGAGTTAGGGACTGGGCCACCTGCATGCCTGTCACCTACTAAATGGTATCTGACATGCCTGCCCCAGGAATAAGCCTGCAAGGCAAGAGTGCCACCTGGAGGGGGGCAATGGTACTTAAAGACCCCCCCCCCCCCCCCCGGGTGGAATTACCCAACTCCTGAAAAAAACAGATCAAAATCATACACATACTTTCTTAAAATCCTACTGTTCTGGCAGATGGTCCTTAAAATTGCATTTCTCCCTTATTTAATTTTTATCTCTGGCCATTTTAGCCCATTTTTCTTTTCAAATGCAGAATCAACTAAGAGCCTGCCCAATCTTTAGACGTTCCTGAGCAGGGCCACTACTCACTGCTAGATGAGATGAAAACTGCTGTTTTTCTTTTCCAGAGCAATTTGATCAGATTTTCAAATATACTCAGTTCAGTAAAGCCTTCATATTCACAGAACACAGACATTTACAAACTACTCATCTGAAATGACCCAGATATAGAATAAGACAGATTTCACAAGAAGGGAATGGATAAATTAACACTTACAGCCCAGGGCTCCTGGGGCAGTGAAACCTGAGATAAGGGGAACAATTCAGTCCCCTCTCAGGAAGGGGCTTCCCATTTAATCTCACATAAAATGCTACAAAAAACCCACACCGATCCAAAGGGACTCTTCTTGAGCTCTCAGGGCAGCAGAAAATCAGACCTGCTTGTTCTTCCTTCTTTGAAGTCGCAATCCAAATCATTCAGAATGAATGGATTCTTTTGTAGGCATGATAATCATCTCCAAGTCAAGCTCCAAGGGCTTGCTAGGTAATCTTTAACTTGCTAGCTTCTATTTGTTCATTTAGTTTTGCATTCAGCATTTTTATAATGAAACCAAACTTGTTTGGTGCTCTGGGGACCTTCGGAGAGCCAGGTGGTGATATAGAAATTCATGATTTGCCAAACACCCGTGAGCAGTTGGCTTAGTCTCTGAACCCAGTAACTAATGCATGCATGAACAATAATCCCCTCTGCTCAAAGCAGAAATGTCCCAGATGCAGCAAGACATCTCTATTCTATCCCTTTGATGAAGGGCATGTCTTTGGCACAGAGGCCAGGGTAACAATACTATGATGGCAGGATCTCTTTCTTCTTTTATTCTTAAACTGACTCTGACAATTAAAAACTGTTTTGCAAATGCTGCCCTTTGGGGCAGAGCTCATGGCTGTGGGTCATCTGCCTGTAACCACATACTCCCTGGAGTGTCATGATTTCGATTAGGACCCTCTGGACTAAATTCAAACAAGACAGGGTATCAGAATTGCTTTAGGGAATCTTCAGGTGACCCACTTCCCCTCTTCATATGTATTTTCCCCTTGGTGCCTTGGGTAACTGTGGCTGCCTTCTTGCTCCCATTTCATAAAAGAAATATCCTTGGAGTAGAAAAAAAACCCTCATGAGTTCTGTAGAGCCCTGTGTAAACACTGCTGAAATCCTATTCCATCCCTCTGGATTTTTCTCTCATTAGGTATCAGTCCCTGACAAGTATGTTTTACAGATAGTGTATTAACCTTGGCAGAAAAATCATGAAAAGCTGTACTGAAATTATGAAATTGAACATAGCTCACGGTAAATAATACATAAGGTTGGAGTGGAAAATGGGATTCGTGTGATTAATGATGGAGCCCATGACTGTAAGATACCGTAATCAGGGATCTGCCACGGAAATCAAAGTTTCCAAATTCTTCCTTCTCATCTCTACTCACTTCACAAACTCACAGACTATTAATAAGGCCCAAAGTATCATAACTGACTGAGCTGACCGGAGAGAAATCCGGGGGTCATGAGTGGCTCCGCAGCGCAGGGCAGCCGTGGTCCCCTTAATCACCACACGGTCCTCAGGGGGGTGAACGATTGAGGTTCGATCTGAAACAATACAAGTCATAGCTCAGATGACACGAGTTTGAGAGCTTTGCCCTCAGGGGGATGTTAAACTGGTCATCTGACATCAAAATCTCCAAGTTTTCTCTCATCTTGGCAAAATGAGTGTGGATGGAAGTGCTCAGAAATGTTCAGCTTTTCTGCTCGCAGCAAAGTTAGTCCCCCCCAGCCCCCCAGTCATCAAGACCCTCCTTTCCTACAGAAGAAAGTGAGAGTGGAAGATCATGAGCAGAAGATCCAGTTAAAATCCAGATTCCTCAGCAAGATAATCACTGTTCTAGCAATTTCTAATATTCTCACAGCATTCTGACTTCATTCAGTGCTTTCGTTTATGCTAATTTAATCCCCACAGCAATCTGCTGAAGGGTGTAATATTATCACTCTCAGTCTTCAGGAATGAAAACAGATGCTCAGGAACACTGAGACTTTCCCAGTACTACAGAGCTCATGAGGGGCAGGGCCCCGAGCTCCACAGCTGCTAAAAACACCAGCCTCCCTGTAGATGGCCTGTGCAAGTCGTGCCCCCCCACTTTGTAAGAGGTGGGGGTGGCCTGGTGCCACACACAGAGCCCAGAACTGGGGAGTCATAGGCTAGGTTCAAGGCCCAATGCGACTATGTGCTACCAGTGCATCAAGAAAAATGTTTCTGAGCCTTGTTTTTCTTGTCTATGAAAGGATATGCTACTGTCACTACAAGTTGTACTAGCTAACAGGTAATACAGGTTGAAAATGATCTGTAAGCCACCTAAGTGTTATACTAATCATTCTAGTATGATTATGATTTTGAATCTTAGCAGAGCTACAAAGGTTTTTGGTGAGTGATCTATAGAGATTCAGAACTCACTTTTTCACAAGCTTTTAAATGCATGGTCAATTTTTAGGGATGCATGATGAATAAGAATTAGTTGAATCCAACTGCCAAATGGAACAAAATCTCTTTTTTAGTACCTGCCAATATTGTGGAAATTTGGATTCATTTATTTTAGGCTCTTGATGTTTTTATAACACCTAATAGGTTAGAAAAGGGTCATTTATCAAAGTGGACACCAACTATATGATAAAAAATGCTAAACAAATATGAAATGAAGCACAATGATTTTTCTTTAGGGTGACATTTCAACATATTATTCACTCAAGTGAGTTAAAACTTTCCCTCCTCATTAGATAGCCTTATGAAAATCTGTTAGTGAATACTGTCTGTTGGTTTTTTGAAAAATGAGTTTTTAGTAATACAGGTTTGGATGAAGAATAGAGGAAAAAGTGCTTTGGCACCTGAAGCTAACAGAAGGGAGGGTGGTATTTGGTACTCCGATCCCTATGAAAACAACTTATTCTGCATTTCAGAAATTAGTATCATGGATAAAATAAGAGTGAGAATACCTAGAGAAACAATAAAGATTTTCTTCCAGTTTGCTCTTAATATATAAGAAACATTCATTGTCAACTAACCCAGAGGTCTATGTGATCATAATATAGAAAAAATGTGCTTCCTTTAGGATTTTAATTTTTGGTTCAGTTTCCTTATAAAGTTGATCAATACATCAGTTTTATTATTGAGCTGGTTGGATATGATATTTCCATTGACTTCTAAAAAGTCTTTTATCTCTCCTGAAACATTTCCATTAAATCTTTGAATATATCTTCTAGTCATCCTTTTACAAACTAAAAAATTAATTACTCAACAGATTTCTGTAAATGAGTTGGAAAAATAATCATTCTCTTTTGATTAAGTGAGAAAGTCAAGGGCATATTGCCGTCCCCAAGGCATAGGCAGCACGACACCAGCACATGGTGAACAGGAGGCATGCAGGACTGTGGTGCTTACTCCACACAGTGAGCGCCGCAGACGCGTTCAGGGACCCCTCTGTGTTGGCTGCGTAGCAGGTGTAGTTGCCGGCATCTTGGATGGACACAGGGGTTATCTGCAGACCCCCGGATTCTAACAGCATGAACCTAGGAATCCGGACAGAGCCACTGGCTAAAATGTGGTTTCCTGAAGGCCAGTAGAGAAAACAGGAATGTTAGAGTCATAACCCTTGAAAGAAAAGGAAGAAATGGTTAGGGTAACAACCAAGAACATAACTGAAGGAAATAATTTGAGTAGAGTGAGAATTTTATGTACAAAAACCACCAAAGTACTTTTCTTAGCATTTCTTAAAATAATGAGAACCAAGAACATCTTAATTGTCCAATATTGAGAGTCTTGGTTAAGCAAACATGATCTGTGTGTAGGATCATTATCTTTGGTGACTGGATTTTATCTTTCTGTGTATTTATATGCATTTGAAATTTTTCTATGTAAAGCTGTGATATTATAGATCAAGAAAGAGGAAAGGAAACATGTAAAATAAAAGAAGCAAACAGGGTGTAGTGGTGCAGGCTCTAATCCAGTACTCTGGGGGCCTGAGGCAGGGGGATCTTAAACTCAAGCCCAGCCTGGGCAAGTTAGTGAGTTTGTCTCAAAATAAAAATGAAAAAAGACTGGAATGACAGCATGAAGGCCCCAGGTCCAATCCCTAGTACCAAAAACAGCCCCCTCCACCGCCCCTATAAAAGCCATACACACACAAAAAAGCAGCAGGTCTTTCCCAGCTAGATCTGACAATAGCAGAACTATACCCTGAGGTAGAAAAGCCACCATGCAGCTTTCTGGCAGTGTGGACTGGATGTGACTTCTGAAGTTTCCCTTAGATCAACTTTCCAAGCCTGATTGCTCAAGCTACATGAATTAACACAATTTAGCACAGCCCTGCTCCAGATGGGCTCTGCCCATGTACCTGACTTGTACAAGGGGCTATGGGGACCAAAAGCCAGCCTATGCTGTAACACTACTCTTCACAGGGGCTGGAAACACAGGTGAAACTAAGTCTGCCAGGTTGAAATGAGGAGGGTGTGAAATGATGCAATGCTAACAGAGAAGAGAGAGAAAAAAGACATGCTTCCTAATTTAGTTGCAATCCAATACTTAATATTTTAAGGTTCCACAGGGGGCTGAGGGCACTTTATAAGGACTTAGGTAAAGGAAAGTGACATTTGCACAATTCTTATTATCTTTTACAGTCTGCTTCCTCTTCTAGAAGGCTAGGGTCTTGTCTGTCCTCTTTGTCCTTATGCCCTGGTACCTGGCAGGGGCATTCAGTGAATGGTTAATGGTTATTTAATCTTTACTGAATGGATGACTGGATGAATGAGTGTGAAAGAACTGAATACAACAGTGGCCTGACACGCTGTTTTCTAGATGGGTCGTTCAGGTTTGGAAAGTGGAAGCCACCTGCCTCTCTTCCATGTGATGGCGGGCTTGGGAGCCCCAGACACCTCACACCGCAGGATAGCTGTCATCCCATCAGTCACTGTAGTGTCAACTGGACGCCAGGTAAACATTGGGGCAACATCTGCGGAGAGGAATTAGGTAGTGAGTGCTCAGTGCATCGTCCTTTAAGTGGGTAGGACCCAAGAGACAGCCTGCTGGAGAGTCCCAGACTGACTTCGCAGAACCAACTGCACAGATAAGAGAGGTAAAAAGGAAAACCTTTCAGGAGTAACTATAACCTCCCTGTTATTCATCTCCCAGGAATTACCTATCTTTGCTTACAACCTGAAGAGAAATGGGGCTCACAGCTGCCAAGTGCAGGGCCCAGGAAGAACAGTTTCAGTGAATGCTAACAAGAGGAGAGGCATTTCTTCAGAGAAACCAAATGAACTGCCTCTGTTCTCTAACTAAAAGCAAAAGCTATTTTTTGAATATAAAATATCCACCACAAGTTGACATATTCATGCTTCCTAGGATCTGTTCTGGAAGATGAAATAACTGAGTTGCAAGGACTGCAGTAAGAGTCCACTCCCCATGATTGTCTCCCACTTATGGGCCTGCAAGGGCCACCAGCCCTGGCTCAGGGACAGATGTGGGCAGGCTGGTTTGGGTGAGGGTATGCCTGACTGTCCTCTGGCAACAACCGTGCTGGTAACCCAGAGTAGCAGAGGATCCCTGCGCTCAAATCATGTATGATGGTCCTTGAGGAGAAGTGGGCAGGACCCAAGAGACCAGGGTGTAGCAGCCACCACTTTCTCCTCCTAATGGGGTTCTTGGCAGCCACAGATGGTCCTGGGGCCCCTACTACCAGTCCACTCCGAAGCCTTTCTCCCCACCGCAGGTGTACACCTTGAGTCTCGCCTGGATGACACAGGGGCTCCTTGCTGGTCTTGGTGCCTCTGCTTCTGCCTCACAGACCTACTGGCCTGCAAGAACCAGTCCCTATGAACGCCCCAGGGACTTCACCTGCACAGAGAGCAGCGCCTCTGGTTATCCCCAGCCCTCCAGCCCTGTCTATCCTCTACCTGTTTCCTGCTCCGCTCCTGCCACCCGCCACCCCTCACCTGGGCACAGGTAAAGGCTCACAGGTGAGGGTTGGCTTGTTTCTTCCAGGGTTCCTGCAGTCCCCAATTGCTTTGAGACATGCATGTCTCCAAGATCTCCAGGGTGGCTCCTGCTTACTTAGGGTCTCATCTCAATGTCACCTGGAGATCCTCCTGCCTATCACTTGGTGACTCACCTGTCATCCTCACAGCACCCACCTCGGGCCAGGCTCTCCTCTCCTTTCTGTCTTTCTCCTTCCCCAGTCACCTGTCCTGGAGCACAGGTGGTCCTCATGACTGTACCCCAAAGCCTAACCAGATGCTCAGTAACTGCTGGTTGCATGAAAGATTCAGTATTTTTTTTTCACATTTTCCTTTCATGAAAGATAGTTTAATTTGGGGAAAGAAATTCCCTATGCAAAAATCCCCACTATGCTTAGAAACCAGATAATGAAGCGTCATCATCATGATGACCAGTTAAAGGACACTTGCCTTTAAATTTCTAATCTGATACTCAGAACCCTGTAAACAAGGGGAGGTTGGTTTCAGGTGAACAGGTGAGGAAACTGAGACTGAGAGAAATTAGAGGAGCACCTGAAGCCACCTCATCCTCCAGCTCCAAGCCCTCTCACTAAATGGGGTTTGCAAACTATTACCTGTGGGCCAAATTTAGGCCCTTCCCTGTTTCCCTGCAAGAAGTTTTATTGGAACACAGCTGCTCCCATTTGCCCCTGCACTGTCTATGGCAGCGTCCACACTACCATAGTGAAGCTGAATCCTGTGAGAGACCTTGCACCTCAAAGTTTAAGTATTTAACATCAAACCCTCTATGAAAAAACACCTGGCCAAACCTGCCTCTGAACATCCTGACCAGTTGCCCAGCAGGCTTTGAATCATTCTAGTTGACCAAAACTCAGTTTCTGCTTAAGCATCCAGTATTATTTCTACTACCTGAAGCAATATTAGTTTTCTATGGTTCAATGAGAGGAGAAATTTGATCCCTGGGCAAAGGTCAGAAAAGTGACCTTGGGTTTCCATAAGAGATGTGTGGATCTTTAGAAGCTCTCTCAGTCACTCACATGCCCTGGCTAGTAAGAGCCACTGGCCACACACACTGCTATCGATTTGCCTTCTCAATGGCTCTCACACCCAAGAATATCAGCACTTTGCTTCCAAAAGGGAAAACATGAAAGGTATAATTCCATAATCACTAAATTCTACTTCATCTTAGAAGAATAATATTACGACCGTGGGAGATTAAAAAGAAAACCCACAGATACAGTGAAAACCTTTACTTTTATTTTATTTTTCAAAGATAGAGTGCCAAGGTATTTCTGTTAATGGGATAATAAAAGAAACTCACAAAAGAACTATAATTGTTCAATAAAACTAAAATACAGAATGGATATAAAAAACGGGGAAAAAATCAAAAGGAAAAGATTAGGAGTGAGCTGTTCACTCTGCTGTCTTTCTGACTCTGTCCAGAAAAATTGGGGACTATTTTCCACTCCCTTTCAGAAAGAGGAAGGCACAAGTGCTGGAAGGTGGGGAATCACAGAAGGGGGAATCTGGGCACTGGGAGGGACCAGCATGTCCTTGATGCTTGTGGGCTTTGGCAGGGTTTCCTAGGGGCCCAAAGTGGACTGAGGTGGGCCTGTAGGGTGGCCCTCCCCAGCGGGTCACCTCTGGCCACACTGCCCTGTCTACTCATGTCAGGGACTAGGGATGCTACTGTTCTGTAGCACAGAAGGCATGATGTGGGAAGGTCTGGCCAGGAAGGCCTGTCTGGGTTGTCTGGCTTTGCTGATGGGTGGTACTCACTGGTTACGTCCAGGTAGGTATGGGTCTGGACCTCCCCTCCTTCATTAGTGGCAAAGCACTGGAAGATTCCAGAGTCCTCTGGAAGCAGCTTCTGGATGCGCAGGCCCCCACTGGGCAGCACTTGGTACCGAGGGTTCTGGAGCTTGTTGATGGAGACAGCATCCTTGTACCACTGGAGGGTGGGGAGAGGGACCCCTGGGTAGGAGTGGAAGTAAAGGGGCATTTAAAAGAATTAAATTCCCAAAGTGCCTAATATGAGGGCTGAGGCAAAACTGGCTAAAATGGCAACGGGCATTTCATAGGCATTTTGTCATCTATTTGCCCTTTCATTTACCTACAAGGGGTTATTCTTCTCCTCCTATGTGAAGAGACTGACACTGAGAGGCATTAAGAAGAGTGGGCTGGGCATGGTGATGTACGCCTGTAATCCCAGGAGCCTGGGAGACTGAGGCAGGATATAAATTTCAGCCTAGCCTGGGCAACTTGGCGAGACCCTGTCTCAAAGTGAGAAAGCAGCTGGGGATGGAGCTCAGTGTGAAGACCCTGAGAAAGAGGGAGAAAGAGAGGGCACAGAGAAGAGAAAGAGAAGAGAAAGGAGAGAAGAGGGCAGAAAATAAAGAAGAGTGTGGGTGCTATCTCTGGATGCCCAAGCTGCAGATCCTTCTAGGCTCTGGCCCGAACAAATGCACGTTTATGCTCTTGTTTGGGAAGACACTCAACTGTGATTGGCCTCAAGACTGGGATGGAGATGAAGGCCATGACTCCACTCCTATAGGGCCATGGCAGGACAAAGGTCACTGCCTAGGTCTGCCCTTCTTTGAGTGCACCCTCTTGGGCACAGTACTTCACCTGTTTTTGTCTCTGCTCCCTCATATACAGGGAAGGAAATGATCACTGTGACTTCAAAGGCTTGAAGATGAGATGCATTTATATATAAAGTTTTTGCCTGGCACACAATGAGTGTCCAGTGGACAGAACTCATTGATACAATCAACCATAATCAAAGTGGGAACCATCTCTTAAACACTGTCTGCTATGGTTTAGATGAAAATATCCCCTCATGTGTTCGGAAGATGACTGGACCATGGGGGTGCTATAATCATCAGGGGATTAATCCATTGGTGAGTTCACGACTAAGTTTGCTGTTAGGAGCTAGGGCCCAGTTAGGGAAGGTACATAAGCACCTTTGGAGGGTATGTATTTTTCTCTGATTTTTTCCTTTCTTTCTGCCACGAGTTGAGCAGCTTTCCCCTGCCATATCCTTCTACCATGCTACTTCTGGCTTGGAGCCAGTTGACTGTGGACTGAATCCTCTGAACACATGAGCCAAATAAACCTCTCTTCTTTTAAGCTCCAGATCTCAGATATTTTGTCCCAGCAATAAAAAGTGACTAATACACCCTCTGTCCAAGGGGCTGACATTGCTCATTGGAATGGAAGCATAAAGAACGGGACAGTATGTCATCAGGTTGAGTGACAAGCATGTGAAATGTGTCAGGTTAAAGAGTAGATATAGGAGAGGTGTCATATTCTGGATGTAGGTCCATAGGATCAACATGAGATAGGCAGATGGCAAGGAGGGACTGCAGCATGGCTCTGTTCTGACATTCCAAGAGCCTAGTGATCCAGGAACATGGTTAAGGGTTAGATTAGGAGGATGAGAGGGCCAGAAAGGCTCAGCACAGAGCACTACTCCTGCTTGTCCCTTCTTCTCTGCAGTGGTATCACAGACAGAAATGGAGCCTTGAGTCAATCCTCAGCCAACCTTGAAGGAGGGCAAGGTGGGGCTGGGAAGGGTAGACAGTGGAAGCAGGGAAAGTTCACAAAGGACAGAACCTAGGTTGTAAATAAAAGAGACTGTCCTCAGTCTAAGAGAGTGAGGATCTCTGTGGCTTGTCCTCTACACACCTGAGGTGAATACATACAACCCAGGCGTTGATGAGTGAATGCTGCCATGTTGTATGGGGCAGCCCTGGGCTGGAGACACTAAGTTCTTCTCCTGGTGACTTCTCCACATGGCTGGGCAACAGCAATGAGGAAGGCTTCTTCCCTAGAACTTCTCCCTGACCATTCCTCGAGTCCAGGAGGACATTCCTACCAAAGAGTAAACCAGGTAGGGTAGAAAGGCTCCCACAGAGCTAGAGCAACCCACACAAGAAAATGCACTCCAGAAATACAGCAGGCATGGGGAAGCGAGGAAATACTTAGACATAGTTCTAGATCTCAGATGGTTCTGTTCCTCAGTTTCTCTAAATATTAATTAGATTGCAATAAAAAGCAATGATTCAGTGGCAAGCAGAGCCAAATCCCTTGATTTAAGAGGGTATATAGGCAGGGGCAATATGTCCACTTTAATAAATAAAGTTAATATCATGGATATTTCAAGATAATGTGTTCTCAGATTCTGTTCTTTGGCTTAATTATGTTTCCTGTCACCTTTCATTATATCAGGAAATTTTAAAAAATCCATTTCAAGGTAAAAGTATAACCAATTCATGTAAAATCTCATAATGGCAATTACATGTTGTAGGTTTCATAAAGAATCCCCACTTCACATGCTGTTAGAGTTTCACTGTCAAAATTAACAGAAAGCAGTAAATTATATGATGGCAAAGCAATGTTGAAATACCTGCTTGATATATATTTATAGGTCTATGCTTAATGAACAGTTTGCCCTGTAGAAATCATGCAAAAAAGAGCTTTCTCTTGTCAAAGGGAGAGTTTAAGATTGTCATTTATTGAAAAATAATTGTTAGTACATGGGGAACTAGGAGTATTTTTACTTGGGGGCAATTTAATGCCATAAAGAGAAATAGTATCTCCCCAGTAGTGTATACACTCATTTTTGAAATATAAGCACTCTAAATATTTTATAGCTTCACATTCACAGAGCTGTCCTTAAGAAACTGGTGTTTATACAAGAAAGAACAAGGCAACCACAGCGAGGAAAGTATGTCTACTTGGAATTCAGAATACTCTTGTCCTGCCTTTTCCTTCCCCTCCCCTGCAACTGTGTCAGTGGAGCCAGAATGGAGAAGAACAGGAACACAGCAGACTTGTAGAAGGTGGCCATCAAGAGGTGACTGGAGCGGGGGCCAGAGTGACGAAGGAAACAGGTCCTTCAGGCAGGAGCAGTGCTGCACAAACTGCAGGTGCTTCTGCCACTGACACTGCTCAGCTCGAGGCAGCACTCACTTTCAGAGGTGAAGAACAACATGCATGTGGTTGTGCCCACCAAGCACAGTGTCTGCTCTGAGCCCCAGGCCTCAGGTCCCTGGAGGAGCTGACAAATTGGGGTTTGGATCCTGTCTCCATGACTGTGTGACCCCAGCATTTAATGAGCCACTCCTATGTGCCAGGCACTGGGTGATGATTTTACAAGCACTATCTCCTTCTATCTTCATGGCTCTGAGCACACTGCTTACCCTTGCTGTCTGTGGCTTGAGTTTCCCACGTGTGCAATGAGATGGTGTCTTCCTTAGGGAACTGTTTCAAAGGGTTACGCAATAGGTAGAACCTTTACCCTCCAGCCCATGAGGGCAGAGAAAACACGCTTTAGATGCCAGGTCTACAATTCAGGGAAAGACCCTTTCACTTCTCAGCAGGTGCCAGAATCCAAACACAGGTTTTGTCAATGTACTTAACTTGAGGAGCTCATCTCCCTGAGGAATTATGGGATGCTCTGCACTGCCTGACCTGGGCAGGGAGCTAGCAGCTAAGGAAGGGGAGGAAGAGGGAACTACCTGAAGAACCAAGTTAAGTCAGCACAAAGCCGATAAGGCAGAAAAATAGGAAAATGTCTTATTTTTCAAAGTGTAGAACAATCTCCTATGTTTTCTGGCCTTGAGTGCCCACCACAAGGATGAGTGTTCTGTGGGGATAAGTCCAGAGGTCACACCCTTGGAACCTGAGCACCTGGAGGTGAGGCCCAGGCCGTGCTGTGTCCCCTCTGTTTGGTTGGAGGAAGTGGGGAGAAGGTAAATCTCAGTACCTAGCGTTACAGGGAAGGAAGGAAGAGCTCTCCCGGGTCTAGGGCTTCCCCAAGGTCATGGCCTGGTACTAGGTTCTTCCACAACCCATAGTTGGCTCCCAACCTGTGCACTCACTGCCTCCCTGGAAGGATGACACTGTCATGGTCTTTCCTCCACACCAGGCTCCTGTCCAGCCACTGCCCACACTCACCCATGGCTCGACATGCGATGTCCACTGTCTCTTCCACTTCAACTAAAATCCGACTCTCGGGCTCAGCAGTAAAATACGGTGGCTCTTTAAACAAGAAATAAACAAGCAAACAATAGCCCCTAAGTAAAAAAAAATGATGTGTCAAAGACCACAATAGCCCAACATCGTTTGAACTCCTTTTAAAAACTATTTCTAAAAACTTCATCATTAGTGACTATCTCACACTCCAACTAGAATTCAGCCACCAGTGGCAAAAGGCAATTTATAGTCTAAGGTTTCAGGAAGCAAATTATTAATCAGGGTGATGGCTACTTCTCCGTTTATGGGCTTGAATCATGGAATATCTTAATTCACATTGTAGAAGGACCATCCCAAGAGGCTCATAAAGGTTTGTATTTACAGCACAGTATTTCATAGTCTAGTTTGTTCAGTATCTAAACTCAACAGCAACTCACGGAGCATGTCAAATGAAGTGCCACAGCAATGCACTAAGCCTGTATCTGGGAGGAGTGCAGCCTATTGACATATTTTAAAAATTTTAGCAGTTCTTCTCCAAAATATAGATTTAATACTTCAATGGAATGCAGAATAATAGCAAAGAGAAAAAAGAAAAGGAGGAAGGCTCTCATTCATCTTCAAGAGCAAAGGAAACTTTCAGTACTCATGTATCTCTAGACTCTCCACTAGCCTGTGCAACAAAACACAGTCTTTGTATTAAACAATGAATTTCCTTAGAGAGTAAATTGCAATATTTTTCTCAGTTTATTCAGCAGAAATTCAACAGAGGCATGGCTGAGTTCAAGAGTATTAAGGTGGTAGTGATTTCATTATCACAATAACAAAAGGCCCCTATATTCACTTTCTGTGTGATAATTAATTTCTGGGGACTGTCTTCCAGACTGGCTTATTCTCATTGTAATTGTGTTGAATGTGGATAATATAGGTTGGGATGCCTCCTGTATTAACTGTATCATTAAAACAGGGTGGAGCCCAGAGCAGGAAACAGAAATGAAAATGTAACATTTCAAAGAAATGATTAAGGAGAAAGGCTGAAGGTTTCTGAATGCAAAGTTAGGTATCAATTCTGCAATTACCCGGACAACTCGAGCAGAAACAATCTGCCTGAATTACCCACTCTGGCTGTGGATATGACTGCAAATTCAATAGATGGAAGCAGAATCCTCTGCTTAGATGTTGTGTGCCCCTTTTCCAAGCTGGCCCCTACACACACAAATATTCCTACTGGGTCATGTCTCCTTAATCAATAGTAATGATGGCAGGATTATTTATATCCTAACTATGCAGTGACTGCATCTTGTCAGGGCCTTGTGTGCAGGTCATGCACCATATTCATCAGTAGATGCTACAGTCAATATCAACTATCATGATCTGGTTAAAGGGCTGTAAGGGGAAAGGGGTAAAACTTAAGTTAAATATCAACATTTGCTTATGATTAATTATAGTTTTTGTTTCCTTAGTCAAATATTTTATTTTGGGGGGGATTGCAGAGTGCCATGTAGTTGAAGAAATAATAGAGAAGATCCAAGTATGCTTTCCTTCCTTCCCCCATGGTAACACCTTTCAAAACCACACCACAATATCTGGATAGTGACATGGATTGGGTGTAGTCAACCCACTTTAACCAGATCTCCTCAGTTTTGCTTCTGTGTGCGTGTGCGTGTGTGTTCGTGTGTGTATGCATTTTCAGTGCTATGTGTTGTTATGGCATATGTAGGTTTGTGAGTTTACACCATGTCAAGATGCAGAATGGGCCATTATCACAAGGATGTTGCCCACCCCAAACTCCATTCCTAGTCCCTGGCAACTACTGGCCTGCTCTCTACAAGTCTGTCATTTGGAGAATGTTATAGAAATGGTAACACTGATATAGGAGACAGGTCGTGGCAAAGCTGGTTGGGGAAATGAGTGGGACCTGACAATTACAAGATCCTAGGAGAGCACCAAATAATTCTCAAGACCTCATATGTGGAACTTCTTGCAGTCTCCCACAAGCTGTGGAAGGTGTAACAGATATGAGATACCAGGGGGAGCCCGCTCTCCTGCCTTTTCAAGATAGCCCTGCTGTGTTTCCCAGACACAGTGTGTACTTTTATCTTTGATTTTATCTTCTTTTTCTCTTGTTCTGCCCAAGTTTGCTCTGCAGAGGAAGTTCTTCCCATACCCCTTTAACCATCATTTTTCAAATAAACTTTTGGCAACAGTTTTGGCTTATCTCATCCAATTGTTTGTTCGAGGCAAGAAGAACCTGGAATATCTTTGATTGCCCAGCCCACCCAGTAACAGTATACCGTGCCACCTTTGGAAGAGGCTTTTTTCAATCAGCATAATTCCTTTGAGATTTCATCACAAGTGAGTTATACTTGATAACATAATCTGCACGTATACGTGGCCACCTGTAGTACCCTAGTACTGTAGCACCTTACCCCAGGGAGTGATTATGCCCCAGCTTCCCCAAATAATTCAGCTGGGGTCAGAGGCAAGTTTACTTAGCGACTTTGGGACTGGGATGTGCATTAGGAACTTCCAGGCCTGGCCAAGGACACTCTTCTCTGATCACTGTCACCCCACCCCAGCCAATCCCCATGTGGACATGGCGCACCAGGCCCTCCCAGGCAGGAGCTCCCCATCCACACTCTGGAGCACCTGGTTGGGAAGTGCAGCCTGCCAGGTCCTTGCACAGCTCACCTGCAGGCCTCACAGGGTAGAGCACCTCAGTTCAGCATAGACACTCTCACCTGTTCCTGCCAGGTGGCCCAGCCAGCAAGTGGGCATGGAGCTGCCACTGGTCCTTCAGGCCCTGAGGCATCTTCTCGTCACAGTCTTTTCCCCACCATACACCATACAACCCAATCTCATGGCTTGCCTGGGTGCTCTGGAAGTTCTCTACATCCCTAGCTACAGTTTACAAGGTCTGTTAGGAGGAAAAGTAGGGTAAATACCAGGCTCATTGGCCAGGAGGACTGTGAGCTGAACTGTGGGAAAGGTTCACTGTGGATGAGTCATCTTGAGCACAGATCTTTTCAACCACTTAATCTTCAGAGGGCAAGAGGGTGAGCTGTGTTTTAGAGAATCGCCAGCCCTCTTTTGAGGGCTGTGTGCTGCCAACACAGACCTATACTGGACTTTTAAAAATTGGTCACAACTACAGTCAATAAAATGGGATTAAAAGGGACACTTTCATCTCTTCTGAAACAACATGAAGGTATCAGGTGAAGGTTCTCATGTCCTGTGTTAAATCAGAGTTGAGACAAAGCCAGCATGGGCCAGCTGTCCTCGGGGAGGGGCACGAACGGCTAGCCCCATAATCTCAGAACTAGAGTAGGGATGACCTGCAGGAAGCCCAAGCCCATGGGCCTCTATCAAGTCCCCCACTCTCCACAATGCCAGGGGAGAGTGTGGGTTCCAGCACAGAGGAGGCAGCCTCACTGGAGACCAAAGATTCATCATGCTTTCTGGTCCTCAGTGCTAGGTTGTAGCTTCTGAGTTTCAGGGCTTGTCCTCAGCAAGGATCACTGTAAGATCCAAAGACACTCCTTGTTCTGCCTTTCCCTCCCTCCAGCGAGCAGAGGTCCTGTGGCATGTCCTCGGCCACCATCACTCTCTACAGTCGGGTGACTCTGTCCACTGTGGTGTCCGCTTCCCACATAAGTGGGAAGAGGAACTCTGTAGATAGAAGTAAGATTACCAACGTAAAATGATCAACTGGGAGAGTGTCTTAGACCAGCTTGGTGGGCCTGGTCTACTCTCATGAGCCCTTGAGAAGTGGAAACTTTCCCATCTGGGGAGGCCAAAGGAGGGCAGAGAGATTCGAAGATGGAAGTAGGCAGGCAAATGGGAAGAAATTTATATAGGAATATGAACATTTAAGAGTTTCATCACCAGAAGATCTCAGAGTAAAGTTCCAGAATAACTTTGCTACTGTGATACTGGTATCAACTGAGACATACTACCAACAGTCTGTTCATTTAATAATAGTTAAGGGATTTAAATTTCTAAATTTAAATTGCTGAATGATTTCTGTATAAAGATCAGAACAGATGTGAGACATAGAGATAGCTCTTTGTGTCATTTGCTGTCACCCTCTTGGGTTTTTGGGTGGGGGTGAAAGAGCTAGTGTGCCAGGGAATGCACACTCATGGGGTGAAGACAGGGGGTGAAGGGCACTACTTTGGTGTGATGAGCAGATGTGGTGTCTGCTGGTCTCGGGAGGAAGGTGTACATGCTGTGCTCCTGAATCTAGGAGGCTGCAGCTAGTTGGAGGAATCATTGGTTCATTTATCCCCAGAAAGAAACAAGGCTTCCATGTGAGTGAGGCACACCCTGACTTCAGAGATAGGAAGTGTGAGAAGTGTATGTAAACTGAAGAAGGTAACTAACTAGTGCATGTGACATGTTGTAACAGAGTTAGGCCAACAGCAAATGGAGCCACCATCTTATGCTTCTGTGGCAACAGTGAGCCACTAAACCTTCACCATGCAAGCTGATGGCCTTATCTACTTCATCACCAGGTTAGGGATGTGGAAACTGAGGCCAACAGCAAAAACATTTGTTCAGGTCAGTTATTGGTGAAGTCAGAAGTTGATGCCAAAATCTACACCATTATATCTTATGCCATGCACCCCTCCGGCATGTTCCAAATGCTATAGTGCACAAAAGAGAGTATCAGCAGAGGTGACATCTGAGAGGGTCTTGAGGGGCAAATATCTGCTCCTCCTCAACAGCTGAGGTGATCAAGGGCAGCAGGGCAGTGCCACGTGCACTGCCATGTGCATTGCCATGTGCACGATTTGTCTCTGGCTGGCCCCCCAGAGGAGGTCCTGGCAGGGGTGGATGCCAGCAGCATGGCAGAGGGAGAGTCGTTGGAGCATCTCAAGGCAGGGAGGTCACTTCAAAAAGCCTCTTACCCAGCAGCTCCACTGTGGGTGACTGGTACAGTATCCCTCAGGGTAACTCAGGAACCAGTGCAGAACACACCCCAAACACATCCCCACTCAGGGAGCAGGGAGCTTGGGTGTGTGTTTGCCAGTTCCCACCAGACACTGGCCAAGGGCTGCTCCTGGGATGTGGATTCTCTGCACTTCCTGTCTGCCATGGTAGCCAAAGTTGGTTCCAGGGGCTGGAGGACACCGCCAGGAAGGAGGTAGAGGACACAGGGAGAAGTTGTGCTGTGAAGCAGGGAGGGCAGGGGACATGTTGTGCCACTGACTTGTTGCATCCAGGAAACACAGCAGTGAGTGTGTCACATTGAGAGGGCAGAGGAGTTGGTCAGGGGGAGGTCTGTGAGAGAGCTACATAATACACAGCTGAGGGCAGTGAGGCGGTGGGGACAGAGACCCCAGGCCCTGCAGCCACTGACCCTGGGGAGTGGGCACCACACTTCCTGGATCATAGCTTGGGGCTACTGTTCAAATCGCAGGAATTGAGCAATGTTGTAGGCAAGGTGACAGGTAGAATAAACAGCTGTTGCCAGTCTGTCTTGTCTCATCAGTGTGAAATAAAAGTGATTGGGAGCCAATTTGTTTTTGTTTTCTTTCATCTGCATGTTCATATCCATAGCTCTTTTCCCAGTTCCACCAGTGACAGCCTTGTGAGATTGGCCCTGTTTCCAGAGGATCCTTCTGTGGAGTCTGGGCACAGGGTGATAATCTCACTCAAATCCCCTGAATTGACAGAGACACTCTCTTCAGGGCTTTTCCAGTGTGATCCGACCACAACATTTTACCTGTTGAGGCCGATTCTTATGAATAAAAGGGGACTTAAATCAACATCATAAGAACTGAAGTGTGTTTGTGCGCCTTTACAAGTCAGAACACAGAGATGAAAACTGCAGAACACAGAAACAATCTGCTTTGTAATTCTGATACAAATGCAAGAACAAGGTTCGTACGACAGATTTAAATACTTGAGAAAGGAATTCTGATGGAAACAAATACTCTAGTTTATAGGGAGATAAAGTTCCTCTCTTGTTTAAATTACCTTAAAATATTTTAAGACAATATAATCCTCTCTACTAGAGATTTACACATCACAAATTTTAATTTTGGTTCAATCTATAATGTGGTGTGTTCATATAGCTGTACATTAACCTTGATGAAAAGTCTCTGGAAAGAATGGGATGTGGTATTTACATCCACAGCCAAAGAGCAGCAAGAAGGGAGGAGGGGGTGACAGGAGCAGTTTGGGCCCCACTTGTGGAACCAGCAGTGATTCTGACCCCATGCTGTTTCCCAACCATTTTCTCCATTCTTACCTATCTTTTAGAGGGACTGATAGGCTTGTGTGACACTGTCATTAGCATAGTCACACTGGGGACACAAAGCCACTTCCTAAGATCCAGGGGAATGTTAGAATGCTTAAGGCAACTGGCTTTTATGGAGAACCCCTTGATGCTCTTGGTAATTTCATAGGAAAGTACAAGTTTTTACTTTTTCTTATTTTGCAGAGTGGCAAACTGCAAAATGTATTATTGGAAGAGCTATTACTCTCTGAAGGATTTCTTCCTATTGGATCTTTCCTATTCTCAATTCCCTTTCCTTCGGGAAGGGAGATGCAGCAGGAATTCTCTTTCCTGGAGTGAACTTATGAGGCAGTTTGTGATCAGCAGTGGCCAGCACGGAGGAGGATGGGTCATTAGGACTCTAATCACAGCCACTTAGGAATAAACGCATGATTATGACTGGAACTGCAGGAATGAGAAAAAAAGAAGGCACTTGACTCCCAATTTAACGTAATCCTTTGAAAATCTGATAAAAAATTTAAGATTTCCTCAGCCACTGGACAAAGCATGCTTCCTGATCACTGTTATTTTCCAGCATTCAGAACTGGGCAACTCACATGTGCTCAATCTTATCTCCTGTTCCTGTTTCTGGGTGAATACTTGGCCCATTTTTAAGATGCAGTTCTTTTCTCACTTTTCAATTTAACCAAAAGTAACATCCAGTAATTTTAGCTTTCTTCTGGGTCAAAAATAAATAACAATAATAAAACAACTTCTGAACACAGATTGCAACAGCCAGAAAGGGTCAGGGAGAAGCCAGTGGCAGAAAGGGCTGACTAGGCAGGCAATTTCCATGATGAACTTTGCCTCCTTCCCAAGCTTCAGGATCAGACATGTTCAGAAGAACTTTTCATAGAAATACTAGGAACATCCTCCCTTTGGATTTAATGAATTCACATTCTTGGAAAGAAAAAGAATAGGAAGATAATTTTAACCGTAAAGTGGTGAGATACAGGACTGCTGTTTTGTGGCCCAAAAGTGTTGGGGTTGGGATGCTATCTGAGGATGCTGACAGTGTCTTTTTCTTGTTTGAGTATTTACCTATAATGGAAAGGAAGGCCTTGGCCCGGGCTGGCTCAAAAGCACTCCCCTGAAGTGTCGCCTCACAGACGTACAGCCCTGTGTCTGCAGAGGTTGGGTTGGAGATGGTGAGGCGTCTCCCGAAGCTGTGGAGCCCGCTGGTCAGTCTCACACCATTTCTCTTCCAGTGCACACTCAGCTCTTCCACAGGCCTGCAAGAGCAACGGCATTGGTGACAATGATTGTGAATCATGTAGATGGCAATAATAATAATTTCAGGCATTCAGCACGAGCTTGATAAAGCTAATTCTAGCAGGAACCATGGTGGGTTGAACAACGGACACTTAAAAATCAATCCAGATATAGCTCTACTCTCTCGCGGTAAGTATCACCAACATATTCTGCTCAAGGGCTATTGAGCAAGGATAGCTAATTGCAGCAGCAATGGACCATAAGTGCTACTGATTCCATTTGCTCATGAAAAGAATGTTTAAAACAAATACTACGAGGGGACACTACAGCTACGTGGGAGGTGTGACCATTTGAACTCCATTCTGGAGTGACCAGAAGCAAGGAGAGATACTTAGGACTACAGAGTGGGAGAAGGATTGACCCTTTTCCTTTGCTACCAAGAGCCTTGCTCCTTTCTCCTTCCCAGCTAGCACCACAGATCAGACCCTTCACCATCACCTACAGCTAAAGTGAAAGGCATCACCCAATGAAGGAGGAAGCTTGGGAGTGGTGCAACATGGTGCATAGGAAAACAAGTAAGCTGCTGCTGCTGGAAGAGAAGAGCTCATGTGCTACTCCTCCTGCTGTGGGCTCCTCCAAGCGAGTATTTATTAGTACAGGTTCAGCAGCCCTTAGCCAAAATGCTAGGGACCACAAGTATTTTGTATTTTGTATTATTTTGTTTTGGAATATTTGCACCTATATATAATAAGATATCTTGGGAATGGGACAAATATCTAAAGATGAAATTCATTTAAGGTTCATCTACATTTTATATACACAGCCTGAAGGGGTTTCTGTGCAATATTTTTAGTGCACCTGTGTTTTCACTGTGACCCATCACATGAGGTTAGGGGTACAATTTTTCCTGTGTGACACCATGTTAATTCTTTAAAGGTTCAGACTTTGGAGCATTTCAAGTTTCAGGTTTTCAGATGAGGGGTGTTCAACTGATGTGGCCACATCTACAGCATGACTGTACCTGGCACTGGCTATGCACTCCAAGGTGGTCTCACTGGACCCAGCTACCACGCTCCTATTGCCTGGGGTAACCACAATGATGGGAGCCATGGCTTCAGGTGTGCCAGTATCTCCTGTGGCTGAGAAAAGAGAAAAGAAATCCATGGAACTCTCCTCAGAATGGAAGATCAGATGATGGCAATATGACAGATGTAGGATCTTGTCAAGTTGTGTTGACAGGAAACCCAGAATCTCCTGACCTGCTAGAACTCCCTCTGAGAAGTCAGGCCTGTCAGACCTTTGGCACCCGGGTTCACACACAGCCCATCTCTTCTGCCGGAATCCCAGCCAGGGATTAGAATGCAAGGTACCTGAAGGCATCCTCCTACTGCCCTGTGCATCCTGTGGCTAAGAGACTTTCACCTACTTAGCATTTTTCAAAATGCTTGCTGCCTTTATTTTTTTTTCCATTGATTTAAGACCTGCTTATTAAGTTTCCTAGTATACCCACTATTTTCAAATTCAACCAACTGCACAAATACGTCACATGTCAGACACTCAACTAGGCACAGAGGACAATAAAAGCAGCTGCAGTGTGACTCCCTGGAGCACACACATTTCTTTAACAAAGTATAAAGTTCTTTTACTGCAGTTCCAATTCCTTTTTCTTTCTGCAAAGTAAATATCCTGAATCCATCTCTGTTTTGTGAGTATCAAACCATAAATAATTTAGCTCATACTTTTGGTGACAAGGGAGAAAAAAAAAATAGGATGCATTTTTGCCACTTTCCTCTAAGACACATTTAGCATCAAAATTAAACAACCCACAGCATACTTTACTACTCTTTATTTAGGGAAAATGAAGACTGAACAACATAGAACAGGGATTTCAGTAAGAGTGGAGATGTGAGAGACTGGAAATAAAAACAAATTTAAACAACAGCAAATGCAAAATGCCTTCACTAGCACTTCATTTGGAAGAGCCTGTCACTGCACCAACAGTTAAGGAGAACTCTGGCCAAGGGAAGGTTTGGCCTGCTGGGTGGTGGGGGACTCACAACCATGGAGAGGGACTGAAGGGTGGGAGGATGGCCTCGAACCAGCAGGCATTGCCACAGCTCTGTGTCTGGCATCCACTGACTGAGCAGGCAGTGATTTGTGTATTAAAGGTACACGTGAAGTTAAAACGGACGGGGAGTTTGGTGCAGGCAGTCAGCAAATTAACTTCCTAAATGTGCACAATGATCACATCATAGGAGGCCAAATTTCACAGACCCTGGGTTCCCTGCAGTGCTAGAGATGCCCCAGCCCTGGGCCTCCAGGGTTCCCTGGGGCACTCATAAACTTCCAGGACTGTTGGTTGCATGTCCGATTCCTGAGCGGAGGCAAGAGCCAGACACATCAGGGCAGGCGTGCACTGAAGGCCAGTCTGAGAAACAACCAGCTTATCACCTGTGAAAGTCGCTCAAGAGGAGAAATGACCTGGGGAGCTAATATTTGCACATGGTTATGAGAAGTGAAGGAGAGCAGCAGTGAAAACTGAAAGGTCACTGAGCAAGGTGCTCACTTGGCATTAATCACTGCTCAGCCACGAGGCAGAGAGGAAGCGCAAGCTCGGCACACATGGCCACCTGGGGAGGAGATCCCAGGTCCTTGTCCTCTGTTGCCCAGGCTGCACAGAGCAATTGCTCACAGCACCTCTGGACATGTAGGGTGGAGGAGCCATTCCATGCAGGCTTCAGCTACACCCACAGAGAGGTGAAGAAATCCTTAGATTGGGTTCATTTATATTACACTTTAAGCACACAAAGATCCGACAAGCACAGTGCAAGTTGAGGGACTCGCTTGATGCAGGGTAAGTAGATGCGGTCTGTTCCCTAACCCAGCCCTCTTAACTCCAACTTTGGAATTCTAATGACACAGAAACCATACAGGATGCTGGTCAGAGAAGCAGATGGTGAAGTAAATGCAGTAGTGCCTACAAAGGGAGGCCACCATATACACAAAGGGTTTCCCGTGAGGTGAATCTGACCAGTGGGAGCCACCACAGCAAGATGGAAGCAAACTCCATGTGTTTCAGTTACCTAAAACTTTGCACAAGTGTCTGGACTCCAGGCATTCCCAAAGCAAGGGTGGCACTTAATATGTTACCCAATTCTGATATACGTTCTTCTTTGAAAAGGTTGCTTTAAAATTTCAGTCAGATTCATGTGTGCACCTGTATGAAAAAGAACAGTGTAGACTTAAAATGAAACAATCCCCTCACTCTGCCAAAGGCAACCTTTTTAAAATCTTTTAATGCATTATTTTAGTTTAACCCTATGTTTTAATTTTATATATCTACTGCTTTTTTTGAATAATTAATTTTAGGCATTATTCACTTTCTGCTGTAATGGATGAGCTTGGAGCTCACACTATTTCACACCTCCTCTCAAACAGTATTTTTAGTTCTTCTGTTATTTATGTATCTTTGGAAGGTTTTATATGTGTGTGTAATATGTATACTGTAACATAAGTATATATCTGTAAAGTATTAAGTACAAACCTTTTATAAAGGAAGGCAATTAAAAATTCTAAGAATACAAGAAATCTGTATAAGAAACACAATCTTTTTTGAATACTACCTTGCTGTGGAGTGGGTAATATTTATATAGAAAAATAATTTAAATATCATATATATATATGTATGTATATATATATATTTTTTTTTGGTACCAGGGATTGAACTTGGGACCTTGTGCTTGCGAGGCAGGAGGCAGAACCATTGAGCTAAATCCCCGGGCCTATCATATATTTATTTCAATTTAAGTGATTATTCTATAACAATCAATAGTCAAAAGGATGGCTATGAAACAGAACACAAATGTTATTAACCTTGATGACATAAAAATAAAATTACAAAGGACAGAAAGAACAACATGGAAGAGCAGAGGAAAATTGAAGGGGAAGGTCGCTTCTCACTATACCATGGGAAAAAAGAGGAGCTTTCTTTTAACCAGGAAATAATAAAGGGTATGTGTGTACCTGTGCACACACACACATATATATATATGATACATGTTACCTTTGTAACTTTAAAATATCTTTCTTGCTCTTTGTAGTTCTCTTTCTGTATAGTTAAAGGTAAAAAAAAAGTACACAAACTAAAAGTACAGTTATGTTGAGAGGATGTGTAGAGTGGTGTGAGCTGAAATCTCATCCATTCTACCAGAAAGTCATGGGATAGTGTCTGAAACTGGGAAGTCAGGAAATAGCAATAGATATATAGAATTAAATGCTCAAAGGTTAAATTGAGAAGGAGATGCCTTTGGCCCGAGAGCAGGGGAAGCTGGTGCACTTCTTCCTTTTGCACTGTTCTCTTCATTGCCTGTGAGGCAGTCTTTAAACACAGACCCACTGGTCCTGTCAGTGTGGCCCTGTCATCCTGAGATAGCCCCTCACTGAATTTCTGGGTGACATCTAATTTCCTGCACCTCATACCTGCCTTGGCTTTTGTCCTCATTTTTTCTGGAGCATCCTCAGGTGGCTTCCTAAGAAAAGTGCACATGGAAAAGATGATTTTTCGAAGTTCTTGAATGACTGGAAGTAATATTATTCTATTTCCACATGTGATCATTTTCCTGAGCAGAAAACTCCAAGGAGAAAAATCATTTTGCTTTAGACTTAAGAAGACATTGGTCCACTGTTTTCTTTTTCTTTTGGGTACCGGAGATCGAATTCGGGACCTTGTGCTTGTGAGGCAGGCGGCAGAACCACTGAGCTAAATCCCCAGCCCCAACTGCACTGTTTTCTAGTGTCCAATATATAGAGAAGTCTGATAGTGGGCCAGGGATTTAGCTCAGTGTTTCCGCCACCTGCCTCACAAGCGGAAGGATCCGAGTTCGATCCCTGGTACCAAAAAAAAGAGAAGTCTGATAGAGGTTCCATTCTGATTATTTATAGGTCATCTTTTTGTTGTTATTTCTCTCTTCCAACTTTTGGGATATTCTCCACATGTTTGGAATTATCTTTATATAATTTTTCATATACTATTGCAGGTACTTGGTAAATTGGAGATGAACATCTTTTTGTATTAGTTCCTTTGTAATTTTTCCTGTTTTTTTCTTTCTAGGGCTCACATTAGTTGGATTTAGGCCTCCGGATTGATTCAATGTGTTTCTAATCTTTCTTTAATATTTTTCTTTTCTCTCTAATTTGGAATAGATTTCCTCAACTTTATCTTCCAACAGTTTTTTTGAATTTTCATTTCAGCAATAATACTGTAACGGTCAAGATTGATTTCCTTGTCTGATTGTTCATGTTTCACAGCATCCTGTTCTTGTTCTATGCATGCAATACATTTCCAAATTTTATGTTTCATAATAGAAGCTCTCTTAGAATGATCCTTAAGTGACCTTTTAGATGTGAACATCTGGCTTGTCAACTGACAACTTCAATCAGGTGAAAATTCATTATTATATAAAGAGATTCTGAATATCAGAGTGCAGAGGTCTTTTCTCTGGGGTCATTCCTTCTCAGTAGAGAAGAATCCTTACTTGTCTGTCTACCTGTCTAGTTATTCCACCTGAATATTTCACCTGTGGTGGTAGGAACAGGAAACAGACTGCTCCATTTACAATCTATCAGCCAATTTGCCACTTCTGCTTCTGCATTGTAACGAACTCCTCTAGGACCAAGTCTGCTCCTGCTGCCTCCACACAGAGGCCTTCTTCCCTGAAGGTCAGGGCTCCTCCCTCTGAGATCTGCTTCCCAGATATTTTACCCCTCACTTGGTGATAGTCATTATTCCTTTTTTAGGGTCACTGTGGACTTCACTTTCACTTCTTTACTGCTTTTAGTTAGGGTTTTAAAAATTTTATTTTATCCTCATGTGCTTTTTTTCCACTTTTAACTGGCCATGCTGAATTTCCTACCACATTTCCTCCCCACATTCAATTTTTAAAAGAGGCAAAGAAGAATATCCAGGCATTTAAAAAAGAATAAAACAATCTTCTCTTTTTCTGCTTTCCTCACAGTGTCTAAGATACAACACTCAATAAATAAATAAATAAATACCCAACGACTGATTTGTGAATATTTGTCATAAATATTATACAATAACGAGCCACATCCCACTAATATCACCAACCTTCCTCCAACA